CTGATGCTGCAGGTAAAACTTGGACACATTTTTACAGGGAGAAGTCTAAAGTCCTCAATCTAAATTAGATTTCTTAAGACCTCAGAACAAGTCCCAGGAGGACATGACAACAGAGTTAAGTCAGCAGTCTGTATTGTCAGATTCCTCTCCCTGATTGCAATCTCATCATAATTTGTGGACAGGATGAGGTTATAGAGCCTTACATACGTGCATAGGTCCAGACGGTTCCTGTGAGCTGTAAAACCTCTAATTCTCTACATTCTTTGCTGGGATGACTAACAGGCAACTCAGAGCTCCACATCTGAAATGTAACTCTTGATCCATTTCTAAAAGGTCATTCATCCTTCAAGGATCTCTCACCTCAGTACAATCCTGCTCCTGCCAATGAAGACAGTCATCCCTGACTTGGTTCCCACTTCCAGTCCATCATCTACCCTCTCCAGTTATGACTCCAATGCACAGTGCAAATCCATCCACTCCTCCGCATCACCTGTATTCTGCCCACCTCCTTCATCTCCCATCTAGATAATAGCAATAACCTTCTATCTGGTTTCTTCATGTTTTATTTTGTGCCTTTCCAATCCCCCCCTCCAAATGGTGATATCTTATTGTTTTGGGGAAATTTTCTAATTTTTTGTTTGTTTGGTTTTGTTTGTGGTTTGGTTTGGTTTTGTTTTTGAGAGAGAGAGAGAGAGAGAGAATGGGTATGAGTGGGGACAGGCAGAGGGAGAAGGAGAGAGAAAATTCTAAGCAGGCCCCACACTCAGCCTGATGAAGGGCTTGACCTCACAACCCTGAGAGCATGACCTGAGCCAAAATTAAGAGTAGGAGGCTTAACCAACTGAGAAACCCAGGCACCCCTTATTTTTGTTTTCAACACTGACTTGCTTATTTCAGTTCTGTGCTTAAAATCTTTAATGGGCTTTGCTTTGATCTCAAGAGATTATTAAATGGTTCACAAAGACCCACACATCTGGACTTTGTCTGCACTTGCAGCTTCATCTGCCCTCACCACAACTCCCACACCCCTCATGCTCAAGGCCTTCTGTCTGTGTTAGTCCCAAGTTCTCTGCCCTTAGTGCATTTACCCACTGTCTCCCATGCTCAGGAGGCTCCTTATCTCACTCTTTACCTGATGACCTAGTACTCAAGCTTCAGGTTATAGGTTAAGTATTATTTTGTCAGACAGACTTTCCTTTATCTCTTAATTAAAATTAAGGTCTCATCTCTTTATATTATCAATATATATACCTTATTTTTTCTATACTCTGTGTTATTTTAATCTGCAGCTATATCTCAATTTATAATTATATATATTTTTAATCACTTGTTTATTATTTACTATCACTAAAACATAGAGTCGTGAAGGCATGGGAGGGAGTCACGGTCAGAAGATAAGTTTTACAGTTGAGCAGGAGCCAGCCCAAGAATCGGTCTTTTGCACCATGCTAAGGTATTTGGATTTTATCTTGGAGGAAGTGGAGAACTAGTGAAAGAATTTAAGCAAAGTGGTGGCATGTTCAGAATTTGATTCAGAAAGCTCTGTGTGGTCCCCAGTGCAGTACCGATGATATAGAAGTAAGACCAGAGGCAAAGAGAGTAAATAAAATATCCCTGAATTGATTCAGATGAGAATGATTGAAGGTGGAATAGCAATGTTATAACAAGAAGTACTTATCAAAGATTTTATTATTTATTTATTTATTATTTATTTATTTATTTATTTATTGTTTATTTTAGAGAAAGAGAGGGCAAGGAGAAAGAGCAGAGGCAGGGGCAGATGGAGAGAGAATCTGAAGCAGACTCCAAGCTGAGTGGGGAGCCCGACCTGGCACTCGATCTCACCACCATGAGATCATGACCTGAGTCAAAACCAAAAGTTGGATGCTTAACTGACTGAACATCCCAGGCGGCTCCAACAGGAAATACTTTAAATAAATTAGAATATGGTGTCAATCAATGGTTGGGTTTCCTGTGAAGCAATCTCTGAGGTGGAGGTTAGGGTGCACTTTTCTTACTATGAGTGCTCTTGGGATCAACACCTGAGGGAAGGAAGGGAAGAAAGAGTATTGGTATAAGGAGGAGTGAAGCTGTGTTACATAACCAGCTGATGGCTAAGGCATCAAACCAAGGCTGAAACAAGTCCTTCTCCAAAGCATTTGCTTTTTATTGCCTCAGTTAGAAGATGGTAGTTTCTTTCAGCCTCTACAGAAAATCAAATGAGACAAGTGTATAAAAGTGTTATTTGAAGCAGGTAAGAATGTCTGTCAAATTTCTAAGAAGGTTTTAACATGGTGATGGAAGGCAGACTTCCATGTTGGAGCAGTGGAAATGTAAGTGGATTACAAGGAAGGGAGAGAATTGTCAATGGAATAGGAGCCCCTGAGGAAGTAGAAGGGGTTAAGAGTCATGGAAAATTGGGAAGGTAAACAATATATCTTTTTAAATTTAAAGCAAGAAAGGAAAGCCAGTGTGGAGAATTGGCTTTGGCTGTGAGGGACCAAAAACAAAAGCTCCTACATTATTTATGTTTCTCAGATTATTCTTATAATCAGGATGTACCTCCATTTTCCAAGTAAACATTTGTTCTTTAATACAGACCAGATATTCTATCTCATGAAAAAATTTAAAAAATTGGGAAAGAACAATAAGTTGGAAACTTCCAGGTTTGAAGATGGGATTTAAAGTGAGATAGAATGAGGAAGAGGAAGTAGAACACAGACGAGATGGTGGAAGGACAAGTCAGAGTAATGTTGGCAAATTCCTTCAGGATGAGAATGGCTAATCTTGTGTTTCAGAAAGTTAGAACAAAGGCAGAGAAAACCCTGCCTTCTGAGCTGGTGTTAAGAAACTATGAACTACACAGAAGCCATCTGTTTCCTCAATGATTCACATTCCTCAAAGAAGGAGTTCTCACTTGGTCTAGAATGGTATTAAAACAGCAGCAACAATAAAGATAAGTGATTGATAGAAAATAGGTAGATAGATCACCCATCTTAAAAACTCAATGGCTTCTATATTTCCTATTCATTTAATGGGCTCTTTAAATCTGGATTGTATTGGACCTTCCATTGGATCTTGGACTGTGGATGACTAAGATGGTGGACCTGTTGCAAACCGCAATGTCTCCCAGCTGGAATATACGTGGTGTGCTCCTTTTTGAATAGTTTTCATCCCTGAAATGGATTCCTTGTGATAGAATATGAAAGAAAATGGGGAAAGGTCCACACTTCCCACATTAAGCACCTGTGGTCTCTGGGCAGTAACGGAGAAGTGGCAGTCAAGGATGACAACTTGATTCTTGAACTTTGAAACTGCCTCAGTTGAATTTTGCTTGCTTTGCAAATTATTTATAAAACTACTGAAAGGTAGAATTAATTTCAGACTCAATCCTATTCATATGAAAAGGCTTGAAAAAGCATCTCTCCCTCTCCCTTTTGAGTCGATTAGTCAGGGACATAAGCATGGTAAGATAGATACTGGATTTATTTCTAGACCATTACCACATAGCTAGCCTAGCCAAGCACTCTGAATACCTCACATTCTGCATTTGGCAAATGAGACACTTAAGCCTGATAACTTTGAAAATACCTTCTATTTCTTTTTTTTTTTTTTAAGATTTTATTTATTTGACAGAGAGAGAGAGATCACAGAGAGAGGCAGAGAGGCAGGCAGAGAGAGAGAGAGGGAAGCAGGCTCCCTGCTGAGCAGAGAGCCCGACGCAGGGCTTGATTGCAGGACCCTGAGATCATGACCTGAGCTGAAGGCAGAGGCTTTAACCCACTGAGCCACCCAGGCACCCCAAAAAATACCTTCTATTTCTAAAAGGTTTTCTATTATCAGAAATTAAGTGATTGCATAGCTAGTCCAAAGACCCACTTTTAATTGTTCTATCAAGTGAAGTATGCATTTGCAGCATTGATAAATGTGATATATTTCAAGTTGCCATTGAACAAACAGCTAATGGAAGTTTGTATATGAGACATTTTTTCACCTGAAGACAAAGTGTTACTTAACAAATATAATAATTACCAGTACATTCAATCATAAGGACTGCTTCTTTTTGTTGTTCTTTTATGGATCTTAAGAATAAACTGAAATCTTGGGGTATCTGAATGGCTCAGTCAGTTAAGCATCTGCCTTCAGCTCAGGTCATGATCTCAGGGTCCTAGGATTGAGCCCCACGTCAGGCTTCCTGCTCAGGGGGGAGCCTGCTTCTCTCTCTCCCTCTGTTCCTTCCCTCAAGCTCATGCTCATATACTCTTTCTCTCAAATAAATAAATAAAATCTTTAAAAAAAGAATAAACTGAAATCTGAATTTTTTTAGGACTCTTCATTTTATAAAGCATCAGTGGTTATAGCAGACGTCTTAAAACTAATACCTAAACATTGCTTCATATGCAGAAGTCTTTATTAAAACTAGAATTGACTAACCTCACTAAAGAAAAGTGGCTTATATTAGAAGAAAGCAATAGATCATCCAAAGTACACAGTGTTTCTCAATTACTCTCCAAAGAACTAGCAAGGTTTTGGTGCTGTCTCCAGTGGTGACTTAATATATATATGTATGCCCCTTTTTTTTCAGAGTGCTTTTCCAACAGGAAGTTTTCAACTCTGTAATTAGCAATCTACAATGGGAGCTCTGACACTTAATTACAACACTGCTAAGACAATAATAATAAGAGGAATACCAAAGTTGAATGCAGTATTTCTTGACACACCTCTGGCTACCTTCTTATTGGCTGGGAAACAATTATATATGACTAGTAAATAATCCATACAGAGATGAATGTCTGTGTAGAAAGGCAGCATGCATTTACAACAGGTACTTCTAGTCAGGCCAAGTTCACTCACTGTTGCTGATTTCATCTAAAGTGTTATGGGCAGTAACCGTGGAGAACCTCTTCAGAGATTGCTGTAGACTCAGAGGCCTCGTCCAAGTTCAGGATTTCGAGCAGCTTCTACCCTTCCAGATTGGCTCAGTCTTCAAAGGAGAGGTGATGGAATTTTATCCCCTGCAGATTGCTGGTCTGGTTCTTGGGTTCCTTGGCATGGTTGGGACTCTTGCCACAACCCTTCTGCCTCAGTGGAGGGTGTCAGCTTTTATTGGCAGCAACATTATTGTTTTTGAAAGGCTCTGGGAAGGGCTTTGGATGAACTGCATTCGACAAGCCAAGGTCCGGTTGCAGTGCAAATTCTACAGTTCTTTGTTGGCGCTCCCACCTGTCCTAGAAGCAGCACGCGCCCTCATGTGTGTGGCAGTTGCTCTCTCCTTCGTTGCTCTGCTCCTTGGCATCTGTGGCATGAAGCAGATCCAGTGCACGGGCTCTAACGAGAAGGCCAAAGTGTACCTTCTGGGGACTTCGGGGATCCTCTTCATCCTGACCGGCATCTTCGTTCTGATTCCTGTGTGCTGGACAGCCAACATCATCATCAGGGATTTCTACAACCCAGCCATCCACGTGGGTCAGAAACGAGAGCTGGGAGCAGCCCTTTTCCTTGGCTGGGCGAGCACTGCCGTCCTCTTCATTGCAGGGGGTCTGCTCTGTGGATTCTGCTGTTGCAACAGAAAGAAGCAAAGGCACAGATATCCAGCCCCTGCGTATTGTGTGCCACACACAGAGAAGCGAAGGAACGTGACAATGTTTAGTAAGACTTCCACCAGTTATGTCTAATACCTGTTTTTGCCTCAAACCCTGGATTACAATCAAAGTGTCTTATAGAGTCCTGCCAGACACTGTAAGTACGTCAGGCATGAGAACTTGCTTTATGGCTGCATTTAAATTGAGATGAAAGTATAAAGGATATATAGATTGTACTCTGTCAGTTGTATTAGGAATAGAAATGACTTGCTTTGGGCATTCTGATCTCATGTGTATTAAATGCATTTGTACACACATAATCCCCATTCCAATTTGAGAAGTCAGAAATCAAGTATATCCACATCCTTAGTATAATGGTAACTACTGTTTTTTGACAATTATATATCACCTGTTATGAAATGTAAATTTTATTGCAATTGATAACATAATAAAACATATTCTAAAACATGACCTATTTTTCCTCCAAAATTATTTCTTATATTAATACAGTAACAATTTTCTTTTTTAAACAATTACTCTGAAAAATAATAGATCTCAAATAAGGATTTTTAATTAAATTTATCAAAATATAGAAATGTCCATCTAATAAAAACATTTGGTACTCCTTTTGGAAACTCAAATGCACTGGCAAGGAAACACTTTCAGGGGAAAAAAGGGCACTGATTTCTCCTAGGTAATTTATGATAATGATTATTTAAAGCACCTAATTTATACAGTTAAATTTCCCTGGAATTATATATTCAAAGGGAAATAATTGATAAATGAAAAGTAACATGTTTCATAAGTTATAATTTACACCTACAACAAACAGAAGCTATCTATCTGTTTTGATAAGGCACATCAAAATAATGCTATAAACACTCAACTCTCATCAAGAGGAAATATAGTCCTAATTAGGGAATTGAGGTTTGGGTGTTGAAGGGAATGGTTTCTGTTCTTTGTTTTATTCTTTAGTCATTGTTGAGGTCTACACATGCAAAGCAAAATGAAAAATTAAGATAATGATTCAGGTGATTAGTCAGGCTAAAATAAGTACCTCCATTTTATTCTGAAATAAATAAATAAGTATGGCTAAGACATCTTGTTTTGCTTGAATTATGTGTACTATTTCCTCAATTCTTCACTTCCCATTCATTTAACATGCCATACTTAAAGTGCCAGTATCCGGGTTATTATAAGTGTGTGGGGGGTGGAGGAGGCTGGGAATATGAGGGTTTGTGCGGCAAAAGCACTCATAAGAGTGCGCTGAATGTTTCCAATATCTTATGAACCAATCAATGTTTATATTTGCAAGTCCTTGGGGTCATGGGCTAATGAGATCAGTCTATGATGATTCATGCAAGTCAGTCCATACAGGTCACTGAGAAGATGTCTATTGTACCATCTCACATGATGCCGTTAGTCTTCTTAGCTCTGTCAATTCTTTATCATGCTTGTCTATCTTTTTTGATAGTCTCTTGTAGGCTGCTTAGATCAGTGGATTTCAACTTGGCTGCATATTAGAGTTGCTAGGGGAATTTTAAAAACTACCAATGCAACCAGTATCAAGATGATCTATGCCATTTCCTAGATTCATGGCAAAAACTTGACCTGTTGACTTGATGACCAGCTATCTACAAACAGTCGTGAAAGAAAATTTTCCTTCTCTTATTTTTTTTTTAAATATCACCTCCACAAACCTCTTTTTCTTCCATTGTCAAAAATTTTATTGTTTCATAGAGGCTTAGTCTTTCAGAAGCAAAAACACATAAAGACTAAAACTATTCTAGGCTATTTTGACTTCAGCTTTGCTATACATTCCACTGAGCCAGTGAAATGCTTTGCTGGCTACCTTCTGGAATGGAGAGCAGAGAAAGAGGGAAAATACAATATTATCTATCCAGACATGGTTGAAAATGTTTTAAAAGAGTAACCCTTTGTAAGTTACATTTTACTTAAATGCACATTAATAATTCTTTTCATTTTCAAAAAAAGTTGCTATGTTTAATTCACTTGCTCTTCACAACCATTATATAATGTAGAAATTGTAGACATCATTATAAACAAAATTGTTGTAGCTAAGAGAACTGATACTTTTTTCTAGGATTTTATTTATCTATTTTTGAGAGAGAGAGAGAAGGAAGGAGAGAGAGCATGAGTTGGGGGAGAGGGTCAGAGAGAGAAGCAGACTCCCCCTGAGCAGAGTTCCTGACATGGGACTCAATCCCAGGACCCTGGGATCTTGACAGAAGCCAAATGTAGATGCTTAACTATGCAGACACCCAAGAGAACTGAAACTTACTAAGTGATATAATTTGGCCAAAGTTAACTAAACTTGAGCTAACCTTGAGAAATCGAAAGGTCAACAATAGCACTAAGTAGACTCTCAATAAATATTTGAAGAATGATCAGAAAACAATATAAATGAGTATACTAGTTTGAGATTTTTAGGTAATAAAGAGCTTTGTTCCCACAGGGAAGAGAGAAAACAATAGAACTCAGAAACTTAAGGACAGCTTTTGTGTTTCGTTTTTGTTTTGTTATTTTAGTCTGAAAACCCTAAATTCTGAAGAGATTGTGGGCAAAGAAAAAAATGTTTCAGTCAGTATCAGATTTTCCTCATTCTTAAGATCATGAAATAGGGGTGCCTGGGTTATTCAGTTGGTTAAGTGTCTGACTTCAGCTCAGGTCACGATCTCAGTCCTAGGATCAAACAGGTCACCAGCATCAGACTCTGCACTCAGTGGGGACTCTGATTGAGATTCTCTCTCTCCTTTTCTCTCTGCCCCTCCCCTTGTTTGTGTGCATGCTTTTTTCCTCTGAAATAAATAAATAAATCTTTAAAAAAGATTACAAAATATTTTCTTTGAATAGAAGTAAAATCAAAAGGAGTTAAGGGGGTCTGGATATTAATGTGCCACTGGGGATAATCCTTTGGCCTCTCCTTAGCCTACTTTCTGGGCAACTGGATACAGGAAAATTAAAAACTATCAGGTGGGTTGGAGAATTTAAGGGTGGAAATGACCTGCAACCTGACCCAGGTTGTGTCAAGGATGTTGACAGTTTTCTTCATGCTCTCACCATGCTGGGGGATAAGAAACATTTTCCATGATGTGTTTGGTCTGACAGGACAAGAAATAGTCTTGACAAGTGTTCCACATGCTGTGGGAAGAGAAGAATATCTCGTATTTACCCAAGACTGGCATAGAACTTTAAAAAGTCTTTGTGGTTGGGACTAAGAACAGAGCAGTAATACAACTGGATGGACAAGTGGGTCTGTCCATAACCTGTTCATCCTCAGACTCATTTCCTGCCCTTCCTCTGCTCTAATCTGTATCCTTAGGAGGTGGATTCCTATGGGTGGGTTCTTGTGCAGTGGTGTTCCCAGAGAGCAGTAGAGGCTATCCTTAGTAAGGGCAGGCATTAAGAGGAACTCTTACTGGAGAGAATATATAAACAGTAACAAAACCTAATGAGTTATTATCTTTACATGCTGGCTTTCCTAAACAATGTCAGATGTTATCAGTAGGTTAAATACTCCTGCTCAAAAAAAAAAAAAAAAAAAAAAAAAAAGTTGATTTAAGTCCTGAACAATCACTGTAGTTAATAAAAATAGATAAAAAAGGTGAGAAGGAAGAGGAGGAGATAATGATGATAATAAATAGATGATAGATGATAGACGGACAGCAAATATATATATAATAATAGATATACATAACAGATAGATGATGGATAGAGAGAAAAATAGAAAGATAGATATTAGCTCTGCTACAGTGAGCTCTGACATACGACTGTATGAATTTGTTTCAAGAGTAAATGAGGGAATTTTTCCTTCAATTCACATTCAGCAAGGCATGATTTTCAAATCATCCCTCTCCAGCTATTCTGTTTTAGTATTTTAAATTTAACACAAATAAAGACTCCTTGTCACCATAAAATGACAGAATTAAAGTAACTCCAATTCTGTTTCTATGTCTTGTCAGTGTTCTACGCTGCAGGAATTGGAGGCACAAACCACACACGAGCTAGGTCGAATGGGTTTAAACTGTTACGGACTTACAGGAATTTCTTCAGAGTAATGTCTACAAAGAATACAATGTTTATTAAAGAATAAATAATAAAAGGGTGCTCCCTTGAAGATTATAACTGAAAGATTTTCCTCACAGAGGAGTATGTGGTAAAAACTTATCTGTGTCTGGGAGTCAGATGCACTAGACGAAGGCCACGTTTCCCCAGCTCCCACGTTTAGAAGCTGTTGGCTATATTCGGCCCATAAAGGCCCTGGTGAGATGGGAGGATGGCAGGGCTTCTCTTCTCTCTTTGCCTGGGGAGATGACTCTGGTGGGTGACTCGGTCTTCTCCCCAGCTTCTCCAGAAGGATCCACCTTAGGTCCACCTTCTGCCAACTGAACCTCTTCTCTTGAGTCCACCAGAACTTTTCGTTTTTTTCTCCCATCATAAGGGAAGTAGCCACTCCCTGCTGTTGTTAGTGTTTGGGGGGCTCTGGGGTCCTCTTCTTGGTTTCTCCACTCTCCCCATAATCTGTGTAACAAAGTTTCTCCATCAAATTCCACAAATTTGAATATTTAAAATGACTTCTTTTTCTGGTCATATCTGACAGATACAGCATTGGAAAATCATCTGGAAATAAGGGCATCTCAGCATTATCTCAGGTAAATAACTGGGGGTCTCAAGTATGAGATCAACAGACTTGGCTTTACATGAGCCCACAGAACTTAGACACAACTCTGAAAAAATTAGGGACTTTCACTGAATAAGATTGAGTTTGTATTCCACTGGGGCTTGAAGCAAAAAGCTAAGCCTGGTTTAAAAAAAAAAAAATTAATGTTTGCATATCAAAACACCTGGCATAGAGGAGATGAGTGAATGAGTGAATTAATGTTTGAGAATGAGTGAATTAATGAGAATGATGAATTAATGAAGGAAGAAAATAATAAACAAACCACAACATGAAGTGCCTTATTTAGGGGTAATCAAAAGTTCAAGTCCTAAGTGTGTCTAAAGGAATTTTGTGGTTTTGGTATTCTTAGCAGGATAATTTCTTTCTTTTTTTTTAAATTAACATATAATGT